GATCACATCTTTACTGGACCTACAACTGAGAAATGGAAGAAAAGACTGGGTTATGAGGGATCTGTGGTACAGTGTTGGGATATGCTCTCAGCCACGAAATCAAAGTAGAAGGGTACAAAATAAAGCACTTTTAAATCCTATTTAACTATTGCCCTTCTGAGTGCGAACTGGACCCTACCTCTTCTTATATGAATTGGTCTCAAAGGGCCCCAGGTTCTCCTTACATGAGAAAAATAAAATTACAGTAAGGATATATATGTGCTTTCCCAGCTGTAATCCCATGCCTGCTTGATACCGTATTTCTCTCCCTCAGTTTTATCCTTGAGGAAAAAGTGCAAAGCCTTTCTGGAAAGGCATTCAGGCAAGTTGCTGGGATGTTCCAAAATGTTGTTCATTTGCTTTTCCTAGTGCCACTATAATGAATTTGTATAGTTTCTTGCTTGATTCCTTTATTTTTTATATGTTTTTTATGTAATCTGAGAAATAAGAAATGGTAGAGCGTATACATTTTTTAAAAATGTATCACAATAGATACAACTTAAGCATCTCTTTTTCTGTTGAAGTCAATGGGACTTTAAAAGTGCTCAGCTATGCAACTCAAAACATATTTACTCAAATGCAAGCATTAATAAAGTTAGAACTGTTTACTAAAAAGCAAGTCTGGATAGGATTATGGCTCAAATTACTGTCCCGCACAAACAAATTTATAAGCCAAAGGGTACATGCTGGGGTGACCAAAGTGGATGAGCCACATGCGGCTTTCTGGATTTATTGTGCCGCTTGCAGGGGGGCCGAAATGCGTCAATGTGCAATTCTGCTTGAGGCCAACGGAACAGGAGCAAATGGGAACAGTTTCCAGCAAGGCAGCTATGCTAACCAAAGCACCATTGTTCTCCAATCCTCAATCAGCCACGGGACCATCTGTGATTGGCCAATCGGGGTGCCAGCCTGGGCCAATGGGTGCGAGGTGTGCATGAGGGACGGACAAAATTACCAGGCTGGCTTAGAGCCAAAATGAGGCTTGCTGCTACTGTGGCAGGTCCTTTGCTCAGTGTCACCTTTGTAGAGGCTGTTACAAGAATGGTACAGACCAAGGTGGACCATGGTGGGACTGGCAGAGCCTAGAAAGGCAAGGGTTTGCTTCTTAGGGGTGTGTTTCAAAACAGCCAGGAGCCTCCACAGAGGCGGTTTGGACGATGTCATCTGGCTTCAACCTACCTCAGAGGGTTGTTGTGAAGCTAAAATGGCAGCTTGCTGTTCATGTGTAGCATCTGGAGCTACTGGTTTGAAAAGGGCAACACAACTGTAACCTATAAGTGGTAAAGAGCCTCTTCTTAGGAGACAAGCTGATTGGGTGTCTTGTTATTCCTTGGCTTGGGGAAAGGGTTGTTGCGGGTAGTATTTCTGCAGCAAGTAAACCTTTGTGTCTTATCTGCAAAGTGTGACTTGTAGCAATGTCTGTTTGGTCATAATAAATACTAAAAAAATAAATATTTACTGGCCTTAGAATAGAAATGAGTAAGTGTTGCTGCAAGATACCAGGTAATGTCCATTGTGGCCTTCAGAGCAAATGGGACTCCCAATGCAATGAGGGAGGGGTCTGCAACCCATCACATGCCCCTCTGTGCTCCACTGTTCAACTTGCAGCTGCAATCCTGTGTGTCATGAGCTGAGGTTCCTCCTTCAAACAATCACCAGCCACGGACCATTTCCCTTGATTGCTCCCAAGTACAGAATGGACCTCTGAGCCTTCACAGAGTGGTTTCTTGAACCTGATCTAGTGTTTTCTTCCAGGAGCTCTGCTTAGAAACATGCCTGGGCCCCAGCCGCCAGGGAGGGGCTCTCTGAAGACAGGCACGCCTCCTGCCCACGTGCTGCTCATTCAGTTGGGCCTCCCCCTCTGCCGGCGCCTCGCCCTGGACCCTGGGGTCGATAGCAGGGGCATGGCCTGGGCCCAAGAACTCCTTGTCCTCAGAGACCCCCTCCCCCCACCGGCTGCACATCTTGGCCATTCCCAGGAACTGCCTGGCTCAACAAGTCCTGGCCTTTAGATCATGGGTCCTCACACTACAGCCCGCGGGATGGATCCGGCCCACCATGCCCATTCATCCAGCCCGTGCTGCCTCCCTCCGCCTGCGCATGTGCTCGCTGCGCAGGCGAGAGGCAGTGGCTCGCTCGCTCGGAGATGGTTTTGGACTCGGTGGGAGATCTCCCAGCGAGTCCGAAACCATCTCCGAGCGAGCGAGCTGCCGCTGCCTGCCTCCTAGGCACACGCGCGCTCGCCGCTGCCTTGCAGCATGGGCTAGAGGCGGTGGCTTGCTCACTCGGAGATGGTTTTGGACTCTCTGGGAGATCTCCGAGTGAGCGAGCAAGTGAGCCGCCACCTCGCACACACCCGATGGTGCCTCACTGGCCCGTGCGCCCAGGGTCCCCCCCCCCGCACCAGTAGCTGCCGCCTTTCAACTGGCACCCTATTGAAAAAGTTTGAGGATCCCTGCTTTAGATAATCACCTCTTCCTCCTGCATCTCAGAAGGAGGCTCACCCGGCTCATCCTCCCCAACCTCACTGAAATATTTCACTTTCCAATTCCCAATCATCTGGAATACAGCCAGCAGTCGGTGGGAACAATTGCCCAGGACCATTATCCTTCTTGCTCCCAACTTCATGTGGCCTGACTTGGAAGCAGGTCTGTGGAAATCTAGAGTAAACCTGCATATACTTGCACTGTAAGTCTGCCATCTTATAAGTTCAATCCTGTGTGTTTAGATAGGAAAAAAAAGTCCTACAAAT